TATAAAGCTTTACCTGATGTTAACATTCACTTATATATTGCAGAGAAGGAAAACCCTGTCAGAGGTTACATGGCTTGACCAGGATATGACACGATTATATAGCACTTTTCTATATGGGTCGTGGTTAAGAAGGGGTCGTTTCAAGACATTTCACAAATATAATCCTCCACTGGAACTGTTCCACTGGAGGGTCACAGAGTACCAGGGTATCGACAACAATGATCTCCACTGGAACCGTTCCACTGGAGGGTCACAGAGTACCAGGGTGTCGACAACAATGATCTCCACTGGAACCGTTCCACTGGAGGGTCACAGAGTACCAGGGTGTCGACAACAATGATCTCCACTGGAACCGTTCCACTGGAGGGTCACAGAGTACCAGGGTGTCGACAACAATGATCTCCACTGGAACCGTTCCACTGGAGGGTCACAGAGTACCAGGGTGTCGACAACAATGATCTCCACTGGAACTGTTTCACTGGAGGGTCACAGAGTACCAGGGTGTCAACAACAATGATCTCCACTGGAACAGTTCCATCGGAGGCTCGACTCCATGACAAGACAAAGACATTATGTAAGCTAATACCTGATCAACTAATTGATGAAAACCAATGTCATAGCCCTCGTCAAGGGGAGTCCATCCATAGTCTAATGACATCAATAGGATAAGATCCTAATGAATTATAAGCAAAATACTCGAAATCAAAGGGTTCAACAAAGCAACTCAACCGTGGGAACTACTCCGATAAAAATGCAAAAATCAAGCAAAATCAAGCAAAGTCTGAACGAGGATTCGACCCGGGCCATAAGGATAAGGATAAGGAATACGATAGTCAAGACTACGATAGCAAAAAATCAAGAAAACAAGCAAAAGACAAGGATAAGGATCACGACGGTCAAGACTACGATACGATAAGCAAGTCAAGGATAAGAAACGCGATAGTCAAGACTACGATACGATAAGCAAGTCAAGGATAAGAAACACGATACCATAGTCAAGACAAGGATAAGAAACGCGATAGACTACGATACGATAACTTACGATAACAATACGATAGTCAAGGATAAGGATAAGGATAAGCAGGGCAATCATATGTTAGACCGTCCCCACCCACCCACCCGTTAGCTCTCTCGTCGTCTCGTATAAAAACATATTCTCTCGGTGTCTCGCTTCTCGGTTAGATAGCTTAGCAACACACTACAATACACCACAATACAATACCCCAGCAAGACAAGCAATACAACAGCAATAACTCAGGCAAAATCAACCAACACAATACCAAAAAAATAGCAGAAATCACCCAAAATGAACCCAAGTCTGAACAACATTTTCGCCTAAGCCTGCCCCTCACATCAACCAAAATCAAGCCATGCAATACCAAAAAAATACCAAAATGAACCCAAAACCAAGCCCAGTCCTGACAAGGTTTTCGCCTAAACCTACCCCTCACATCAACCAAAATCAACCAACACAATACAAACAAAAATACCAAAAATCAACTAAAGTCAAGCCCAGTCCTGACAAGGTTTTCGCCTAAACCTACACCTCAGATCAAGCAAAAATCAACCAAAGTCAAGCCCAGTCCAAACAAGATTTTCACCTCACCCTATGCCTCAAGATCAAGCAAAATCAACCAACACAACGCCAAAAATCAACCAAAGTCAAGCCCAGTCCTGACGAGGTTTTCGCCTCACCCTACGCTTCAGATCAAGCAAAATCAAGCAACCCAATACCAAAAAAATACCAAAAATCAAGCAAAGTCAAGCCCAGCCCTGACAAGGTTTTCGCCTTCGCTTACGCTTCAGATCAAGCAACACAATAGCAAGAAAATATCAAAAATCAAGCAAAAATCAAGCAAAGTCAAGCAAAGTCTGAACAAGGTTTTCGCCTCAGCCTACGCATCAGATCAAGCAGCACAATAGCACAAAAATAGCGAAAATCAAGCAAAGTCAACCCAAGTCCGAACAAGGTTTTCGCCTCACCCCACCCCTCAAATCAAGCAAAGTCAAGCAAAGTTGAAACAAGGATGAGGATGAGCAACACGATAGTCAAGACTACGATAGCAAAAGACAAGGACAAGGATAAGAAACGCCACACCACACGCTACGACAACCAAGTCAAGTCAAGGATAACAAACACAATAGACCACCACACAATAACAACGCAAGACGACACAATACAATACAATCGCATACAATAACAATACAATAGTCAAGGATAAGGACAACAGGGCTCACCATACGTCAACATTCTTAAATCCCCCCCACCCCCCCGCCCGTTAGCTTTCTCGTCGTCTCGGATAAAAACGTATTCTCTCGGTGTCTCGGTTAGAGTTACCATACAACAGCCAGACAAGCAAGGCAATAGACTACGATAGTCAACACAAGCATAAGGAATACGATACAAAACCGCAATAGATCACAAAACACCCCAATAGTCAACCCAAGGACAACAAATACGGCACAATACCAAGACAACACAATACCCGCAAAATGGCCAAAATAAACCAACCCCAGAGCCATAAAATACCAAAAATAAAGCAAAATCAAGCCCAGTCCAAACAAGGTTTTCGCCTTCCCCTACACGTCAGATCAAGGAACACAATAGCAAAAAAGCATCGAAAATCAAGCAAAGTCAAGCCCAGTCCAAACCAGGTTTTCGCCTTTCCCTATCTATTGGAGTCAAGCATCTATGGTCCCATAGATGTTCCTCGAGGGAACACCTTAATTTGGTTAGTAAAGGGAACAGAGGAACACGAAGACCAATATTCTGTGGGAAAAGAGGGAACACCATGTCTTTATTTGGTTAGGCAAGGCACGAGGGAACACAGGGTTAGTGGGAACAGAGGAACATTATGTGTCATACTGTGTGGGAAAGAGGGAACACGGGAACATTATGTGTCACAATCTGTGGGAAAGTGGGAACACAGGAACATTGTCTGTGAGAAAGAGGGAACACATTCTTTATTTGGTTATGAAAGGCACGTGGGAACAGAGGAACATCATCTGTGAGAAAGAGGGAACACAGAAACGCTGTCTGTGGGAAAGTGGGAACAGAGGAACATCATCTGTGAGAAAGAGGGAACACATGGTCAGAGTCAACAGGGGGACATCATGTCTCATAATTTGTGGCAGGGGGGGAACACATTCTTTCTGTGGCCCTTAATTCACTGACCTTATTTACTCACCCCAGATTTTTCCTCCCTCATCTCTCTTGGCTCTATTCTCCCCATCTGACTCCATCCCCAGCCCTCAATAAGCTAGTATTTTATGTATATATTTCTATCAAAACATGATCTAATGATATTTTCACCCAGAACATAATGTTCCTGAGGCCCTGCAGGAAGTGTGCTGATACAGCATGAAAGAAGGAGGTGCTCACCACACCCACGAACACATTCTGTAAATTGTATAATTTGTCTGATAGACTGACCAACCTACTACTGCAGGCAGAAGTTGGCAAATGTCAATGCAAATCTTATTTGTACTGCAAGCAAATGATCAGGAAGGGCAGGGGGCATACCATCAGCAAGGCGTGAAAAAGGCTATTAACTGTATGCTTCATAGATCACTATCTATAGACTGTCATCCGCAATGAAGGATGTTTGGCACCCAAACATGATAGAACCACACTTTAATTGCCGAGTGTCCTAGTCCAATGCATTACAAACAGGATAACAAGCATTGTTAATATAACATGGCCATGTGGTGAGTATCAGACTTAATACATCATCCTTACAGGATCTTGCGCTAGTACTTCCCTTTGGTGTGTTCCATTACAGCGACCCCCACCATGTCAAGTCTGATCCGCCCTCTGTACTCTATACGATGACAGGTTCTCCCCAACATCTTTGCAGCCTCCATATTAATGTAAACCTCCACACTTACCTATGGTGCATGATAGCCCACTTGCCATGCCATGTCAAACCTCATCTATGCCGCATCACTGCCTCGTCAAGTGCCGCGACAAATCCCACCTGCACCTCAACAATTTTAGCTGTAAGTGCAACTTGGGTATTGCTTCACTACACACCAGCTACTGTAATTTTTTTTCTCATTTCTGCTTGCCTGTGCATGGCTCAGTCATATTTTATATTGTTATCCTGTCAGATTCATTTACAGCAGTAATGAAAAGAAACTACTTTCCCCATCTCTCTTTCTTCACTCCTGTGTGAAAACAATGTGCAAACATCGCAACAATTTCACACCATAGACAGTGCTGTGTACAGTTGACTGTGTGTGAATGCATCTGTATGAAAGTCGAGCATAGTGTGTTGGAGAGTCAGTCCACGGCGGCCATTGATCATTGTTGCATGTGCAGGCCATTATGGAAATTGTTTATGGTTGACGGTCCAATTGGAACACTCACGCTCAGCGAAACCCGACAATTTAGAGGTTGATCCGTGAAGATATGCGTTAGAGTACAAATTGAGGTGGATACAAATCTAAGAAATTCGGGACGGCAAAACTCAGATTTTGTGCAAGACGCAAAGAACCTTTGGAAAGGTGAAAAAAATGCAAGTATATCAGACTTTGATCGCCTAGTTTGCAAACTTTGCACGTATTGCATGCATTGCATGTTTATGTGTGTGATTTTCGCGTGCAAGTCCATAGTTGTGCTCTACAGATAATGTTTATTCCCAGTTAGTGCAGTTGAACCACGTGCATCTTCTCATCCGCCCACCATGTCATTTGACCCCGCTGCGACCCCCGCTCGATACAAACATTCGCTTGTCTTTCTAGTACAATATGACAACCACGAGCCTGGAGCAGCGAGTAGCCTTCGATTTGCTCACTGAGTCTCACCATGACTGTCGGTCTCTGTTGGTATTGTCTTCGAGAAGAGGAACTCGGACCTTGAGAATGCCGCGATCTTTGCCAATAACACATGTCAGATGTCAGCAAAGGTAGTCCTCATTGATATATGAAGTCTGTTTGTACAGCAAATCATTCAAAGGTGCTATGTGTGTAAGAAGGCGAGTTGTCAGCTATAAATTGCAACATCGTGACATTTCCTGCTGGCAGATTTGAGACATTACATCAGTCATACATAGCTCTATTGCCATGAAAACATATCAGCAAGAATAATGTGATTTGACTGTTATTGTGCAACGATGCAAGCGACCGTGGAATACTGTACTTTCAGATCGGCCATTGGCGGCGGAGTTAGTAAATGTTGCTATGTCATCTTTGTGATTCATCATCACGCTTGCCCTTGTCCTGCTGATACTCACTGAATGCCTCGCATCAAGAAAATAGGTCGCCAGCGACACGGGGGCACGGTGCTTCAACCTCACTTCAAACCCGTTCACAAACAATATCGTGCGATGACTGCAGCAAAATCTGCAGCAAAGCATGCTGCCATCAGTGGGGCACTTCCTCAACCCATCCGTGATTTCCGCATCCCTGTCACCAAGGCCGAACTCTCTATGGACCAATGGGATGCGCGTGCACCCCACAGAATTCATTACGGTGTTCCGGAACTGATAAGCTATGGTGCAGGGGATGCCGGTCAACTTGAGTTTTTGCGGGTTCCTGCTATGAAGGACCAGCGGATTCTCGGCTATGTGCTCCTCCCCGCCAGATATCGGTCGTCCTGGGTGTATCTTTGCTACTGTGTAGAGTACTGGCTCGCAGTGTGGAAATGTTGGGATGGTGAGTCAAAGAAGCATCAAAAGCAGAAGAAAACAAAGGCGCAACAAGAGAGGGCAGTCCTGATTGACACCTCTCGCAAGAACGCTGGTGCACGTTTCCTTCAAGCCATGGTTGCCAGAAGAATTGTGTTGGAGGAGTGCGTGGCGAACGGCGTGAATGATGAGCGGATTAAATCACTCGACGAGTTCCTCATTCGCGATCACCGAGATTGGCTATTCGTGGAGTTCGACGAGTTGCCTGACGATGCGGACATATATTTAGAGGCCGATCCATTGCACCCAGAAAACAAAAAGATATTCGGTACGCGTACCTGATGCGGACGCGTGCATCTGCGCTAACTTGCGATGGCCTCAGAAACGGGCTGGGGCGTAAATGTGAACGACATCTCAATGATGCTTGGCCAGGCAGATGATGCATGGATGTCCAAGGGACTTGACCTCTCAGTAATGTTCAAGAAAGAGATGGATGCAGCTCTCAAGAGGCTCAGAGACGGAGGGGAGGAGGTCCACATCACACACGATGAAAATGCAGAATTGCCAGACAGGTGGCATGAGTCCCATGAGCCACCAATACAATTCATTAGCAAAAGAAAGGACCAGCTCCTTCGCGCGGTGAGGAGTGGATGGACTTGTGCGTCTGCCCCACTAACATGATATTTGAGTACAGGAAAGAAATACATGAATGCAGCCCTCCATTTTTAGCTGAGCTAGAACACGAAAACAACACTTGCGACACTCACAGTACCAGATCTTCCCACCCTCCTGTCACTCTGCGTTTTTTGTGCCATCAGTACTCTGGCCTTAAACAACGGTCATACAACTCATACAACAGGAGACAACGTCTCTGTCGGCATTTATGTCACATGCTTTTTAATTACTGTACTCTAGCACATGTCTTATGTGTCACCGCAACCAACCAATGTCATGATTCGGTCAACCCCTCTGCAGGAGAGAATGGAGCAATGATGCAGATGAATGTCAATGACTCTTCTGAGAGCATCACCACCCTTGCCAGTGAGGTTTCTGTAAGACAGGGCATACATTGGTGGCAAACATTTTTAAACTTGGGAAGGGCCAAAACCTTGCTTGCCCTTGGCATTTGCTCCCTGCATGGAGGACATACAGAAAATGGACGGTATGTGTTAAGTCTGCTCAGACTCTGCGCCAGAGTCCGAGAAACATATCTGAGGGCGTCTGGTCAGAAAGTTCCAGGCTATCTGTTATTGCATTAATGTAATAACAGATAACCCGGAACTTTCTGACCAGACATCCACAGTGCACATTGTTTTCTAACCCGCATAATGACTGTATGCCCTTCTGAATGAATCCACCAACAACCACCCCTATTTCTCCTGTTCTACATCGTACCGGCTATCAACTTCCTCCTGCTCCCAAGTACCTCATCACCGCCTATTGATAACCCTAATAATAAGAACTTGTCAGCCACAAGCATAGAACTGATCATGATCTGGTGTGCCCTCGAGAGGCAAAATAGGGTGGCTCAGCAGTTGACGGCCTCAGTTTGTGCCGTCTTTGCCTCTGCAGTGCTCCCTGCAAGACATGGTTCTCTGTAGTCCACCTGCTGGTACCTTAAGGAGCAAATGGTTTAGTACTGAGAAGCCCTTGAGAATAGGCCATAATCCGTTTAGCAAGCAAGGTTCGACTCTCTTTTATCAGAAACCAACGATGAACATGTCTTAGTGGAAAAGGAAAGATACCGTCGCCATCTGCTTTACAATTCGCACAAGGCACACAGTTCCTTGGGCAGTCCCTCCCTAACGTTGCCAAATGCTGACACCCATCATGCTCCAAGGCATGACGATGATGTGCCAAGTCTCATGAGAGGCCACCTATGATAACCAATGTTATGAGTTTCATCAGCTCGCTTGCGGAATTGAATGGTTCTATATGTGGGGTGTGCATGTATGTATTTCCGTGATGTCTGAGTCCGATCCTAGTTTTTTTTTGCTTTCAGAGACATAAAGCAATGAAAATACATAACATTGCACAAGCATCTAAGGACTTTTATGCAAATCATTGCTACCAATACATGGTCATACACGTAACTCATATGATAGAGCAAAAAAGTCACATGCAATGGCATCAGATTTGAGTGTGATGTGAGGCAAACGCAAATGACGGTAAATGACTATACAGTACACCTTCTCATAACGCATAATTCTCATGATGCATCAACTCTTGGTGGGTCCCGCTGTGGGACACAGGTAATATGCATGCATAACGCATAAGTCTTAGGACTACTTTATGTGTCATTAGAGACGCCTTATTTGGGGGATCAAGTCCTGTTGAGGGTGGAGATATCATAGAGGTGGATTCAAATGATGAGGATGGTGAGGAAGATGAAAATGTGACTCCGTATTACACATTTGCGCAAGTTTTCACGCTGTGTCAGCAGCTCGAAGATGCTTGCCTTCAATTTAGAGAACTTGAGCAGTCATATCATCTGTCGAGGCAGCTGCGGCCATTTAGGGTTTGGTGCGCAGGGAGGAATTCCGCAGGGCAAAGCAGACAACAATAGGCATTCATATACGTATTTCGGCGCTTCAGCTTTGGTAAATAGTCATGTAATATTTGGTCCCGACATTATGCCTTATGAGAAAGCGTACTGTAGAACTTTTCTAACCGTGTCGGTAGCATAGTCAGCCACTGAAAAATCTTACATTTGTCTGTGTTTGGCATCGCGAAAAGTTACTATAATTGTCATGTGTAGTTGTGTGGCGGTATGGTGGTATGTTTGGTGTTCTGGATTCGTGTACTTAATGATTTGCCCAACATCCAACTTTCTTTGGTCTTCTCCACACCGTCATGTACCGCGCCGTGTCACACTCCAGTGACATGTATTCTGGAGTCATCCAGACATATAGCATACATGACGTCCTCTTCTCCTGTCAAGGAGACGCAATCTGTGGTTGACAGACCTGGGCAAGAAGCCCGACACCCCTGCGCTCATATACTCGTGTGTCTGATTGTTTTCATAGCGAGGCGGCATTGCTCAATGACCAACGTATGCATGGGTTCTGTCCTCCCAGGGGAATGGTTTCTCTCCCTGATAAGGATGGCGTGGTCTGGAGTCATCCAGACACCATATATACCTTCCCTTCTCCTGCCAAGGGGAAGTCCGGACTTGGCTGACATGCCAGTGCAGGAAGGCACAATAGCACGCCAAATGCTAGTACAGTATTATTTCGGTGTATGATAGTGTTAATCAACTCTGGCACACGCCCGCTGAAGAGTTTTGCAATTGTTATTCTGTCCATCGTCCGAGGTTGAACAGCTCTTTTCAGACCTTGATGGCACTCAATCTGCCAAGCGCTGCAATCTCTCTGTTGGCACATTCAAGACACTTGGCAAGATTCATGCATTCTATTTAGGTTTCTGACTGTAATCCATTGATTTCCGTATATTCGCGTCAAATCCAGCGAGATATCCAAGGGACACAGTTATATCCAGATCTACGAAATTCTATCTTGTAGTGAATGCATCAAAAACCATCAATGCACATTGTTTTCGCAGCTACGGAAAGCGCAGATACCAACGTGTGTCTACGCAATACAAAATACTACAGCCTCTGTGTGGCAGCGCATGGAAATGGCCATGTCCGATTTTCTCTCGGGCTGTGTAGCGAATGATGACATACTCTACTGGCAAAAATGTAGGACGAACACAGGCAGTCAAGACTCAATGCCTATAAATAATGCTTATGAATGGAACAAGATACTGAAACATAGTACTACAAGAATCACCTCAGTGCGAGGGAGCTGAAACAAGAAAAGCATCGGTAATTCAAAGAGATACGGTAGTGCTGAACCCAAAGGTTCCACGCCGAAGGTGCGACAGAACTTGTTACATTTATGCGCAGACCTGAAACTGTCAAAAGCAGAAGTGCAGTTCCTGTTGCCATAAAAGCTCTGGATACTTGCATTAACATGAACATGGCGGCCCATTTGTAGCACAAAAGAATTTCAACTCACGGCCCGTTAGGACTTGACAGTCAGTGAGGAGGTCACCAGGACCTATGCCAAATAGTACAGTCAGTCAGCCATGTGTCTGGAAGGGGGTTGAGCACTCACCCTAAAAATCAGATAGGTAAACCATACTGCCAGTAAGGCGACATTGGACATGTTGCACGAAGCATAACAACATTATAATGACCGTTTCTCCGCCCTCTAGACTACAGGCAGGAACGGCGGAGATTTTGTTGATATATTTAACGAATTTCACACTAATCCGTTCCTCGACAAGATAGTTTGCGGCGCCAAGATTGTTGTTGGAATCATCGGGAACAACCAGTGCAGCATGGGCTGGCCTGAGACACGGTAACCGAACTTCAATATCTTGACTCACATTCCTAGTCTTGAGCATCTCATTGACGAAGGTATATGCCATGACCAGTAATGATGCGCCCCAGTAAAGGCTCGGAAGGACATGAAAAGATCCACATATGCGTCCCAGATATTGTCACAAGTCAGCACGGTATAACCAAGCTCAGACATATGTTCTGTGACCTGTTAAAAGAATTCCTCGGGTACCAGTTGAAAAACGGGGTGATCAGAAGGAGCGTATGTCTGACGGACACACTTAAGCGACAAATTGTGGATAGTAACACACATCAATATTTGGGAGAGATATAACGAGACACATGTGACTGATGATTGAATGTAAGGGTCCTAGGAGCTTGCATCAAAGGTGTTTGCGTCGGGATTCTGATATTGTCGCAGCTCTCTACATATTCAAATCAACCGAAAACGATTTGGCTTTGAGTTGCAAACAATGACAGCGCAAAAATGTAGACGAAAGGAAAGCTATGGATGGAAAGCATCCACATCATTCATATGTCATAGGCGACCCTTCGCTGCCATCGTTGCTTGACCCTTCCAAACTTGACGACAACCTCCTGCGTTTCACAGGACGACGGGTGGATGCTTCAGTGTTGGCCTCGTGTCTTTTGCTCCTCCTGGAGTCCTTTCGATCGGCGGCTCGAGTGGCGTTCACGAAAAAGTTATTGAGTCCAGCTGATGGGGGGAAATGGTGCCAGAAGAGCGTCGGAGCAATGGTAGGTTTGACGCGGAAGAAATACTCATTGTCCTTGTCAATAGCCACCCAGGCGGATGTCCATTGACACTTTGCACAGGTAATGCGAACCTTGCCGTTCTTTGTCGACACCCGGTTGTCCGATGCCGCGGGACGGCAGCCTTCTTTCGCGCATGCACTGAACTCGTGGCCAAACGCACGATACGGAGGACGGTGCTTGCTTATCTCTCTGCTCTCAACGATGCGCTTCCCCTCTGCGTATGAGCCATAGACAATCACGACGGTGTTGTGGTCTAAAACATCTGGACTGGAGGCGAGTAATTCGCACAATGAGTCCCAGACATCCGGTATTCCGAACAGAGTAGCATTGCGAACAAAGGCTTGAACCATGGGGCCAACGTTCACAGGGAGCGTCGAGGCTCCTCCAAATCCAATGATAAAATCAAAGACGTCGCTAAGATACTTATGAGGGGGACTGCGATAAACTAATGCAATGCAACTTACTCCTTCACCAGTGTCAGCAGCGAGTCAAAGTGATGTCTGACTCGCATGGCAGGCCCACAAGTAACCAGGATAAGTCCCCGCCGTCCACCCCTCGCCTTGGGCGTGGTATCGCACCATGGCGTGCTACCCTTGACGGTCGTCTCCACCGACTTATCATCTCTCGCATATGATGACGCCATCTTCATCGCCTTCATGAACTGCTTACCGAGGTAGGCTTCTATTATTTCTGCGGCGGTGGTATTGGTTCCTCCGGAAGCCCCACCGGTATGCTGCAACATTCCAGTGTACTCATCGGAGTGGGTGTCCATGATCACAAAGGTATTGCTGGGAACATTCTCCAAGATGGAGGTGGTAATGAAGTTCGAAGGTATTTTCAACAGACGCGATTGTTTCCCGTGAGCCCCTGCCTTCATGGCGAGGGTAGCAGTGGTCAACTGTCGATTACAAAAAAAGGTTAGGTGCTAGGGGTCAAGGACGAGAATGGCTTACATTTGCAGATGATTGTTTGTATTGGGTCACGAGGTCAAGATTAATCAGGAGCTTCAGATAATGGTCCTTCATCGAATCTAAGGTTATGTGAACAATACAAGCTGGCCACGCCTTCTTCACTCTCTTGCGCATCCCATATCCGATTACCTTGTAAGGTAAGCTCCTCTCCTTTCCATCGATCTTTCTAGCGCACAGTGGACACAGGAACTCCCAATTCTTCGGGACCGAGTCGTGGCCAATGCATCCAGATCCGCCCGGCCGTGTTTGGTGACATATAATGGCGCCACATTTGACACACATGTGGGAAGTTGTTGTATCACACGCATCCGAGCAGAAATGGCAGAAGGTGCCAAGATGGTTGAGTTCGATTTTTGTGATTCCGGCGACGCAAGATTCGATGGTAGGTTCGATGTCGTGGGCAGCTGGGGGACGACCAACGGGGGCTTCAATCGATGGATCTTGCAATGTCAGACTGCCGATGTCGGGGCGCCCAGGGGCAGACCGAGCGATTCCCAAGTGAATAGCGGCAGCACGAGCTTTTGGAGGCATTGCGTCCGAGTTGAAGGATGGCACTAACAAAAGAGTTCAATTTGTAGAGCAAGTAATATTGATCTATGCTTGTAACCCGGTTACCCAGATATGGACGAACTCATTTTTGACACTCCGACTAATCTCCGACCAAACCTGGACCCTACTGAGAGTTCGAAAGCTGGGATCGGCAGAAAACCTGATGCTCATGGAGGTGATGCAATTGACCACAAGGCTTAGCGATGTGCAGCTCATGAAGATGCAAATTGCGATGAGCGAATACGAATTGGTCTGTAGTAGCTGTAGTCAGCAGAACCAAACTGGTTTGATCCAGTAGAACACGAAGACCAAATTTACTTGGTAGTGGACTCTGCATAACGGACACGGGCGGACAAAAAGTTTTCGTCGGTTTCGCTTGAAAGCTTTGGTTTCCAATTAGGGCTCTGTGAAAAACTACCCAGGGAGTTTTTGACAAGTTTTTAACTCACCCCCACCTTCGAGGGGTTTTTGACACCCCCAAAAAATGCGTTTTTCTCAGTCATTTTGACATTTTTTCGCTATTGTAATGCAAAGGCCCATTGTACAGGCCCTCGCGAAGGCATTATAGCACTATTTTCTATATAGGTTTGGGTTAGTAAAGGGTTTCTTTAAGGCATATTGATAGGCCAGTCCCTCCACTGGAACAGTTCCAGTAGAGGTCAGTCAGTCAGTTAGGTTGGTCTAGTCCCTCCACTGGAACAGTTCCAGTAGAGGTCAGTCAGTTAGGTTGGTTTAGCCAGTGCCTCCACTGGAACAGTTCCAGTAGAGGTCTGTCAGTCAGTTAGGTTGGTTTAGTCCCTCCACTGGAACAGTTCCAGTGGAGGTCAGCCAGTCAGTTAAGTTTAGCCAGTGCCTCCACTGGAACAGTTCCAGTAGAGGTCAGTCAGTCAGTTAAGTTTAGCCAGTCCCTCCACTGGAACAGTTCCAGTAGAGGTCAGTCAGTCAGTTAGGTTAGTCTAGTCCCTCCACTGGAACAGTTCCAGTAGAGGTCAGTCAGTCAGTTAAGTTTAGCCAGTCCCTCCACTGGAACAGTTCCAGTAGAGGTCAGTCAGTCAGTTAGGTTTAGCCAGTACCTCCACTGGAACAGTTCCAGTGGAGGTCAGTCAGTCAGTCAGGTTGGTTTAGTCCCTCCACTGGAACAGTTCCAGTAGAGGTCAGTCAGTCAGTTAGGTTGGTTTAGTCCCTCCACTGAAACAGTTCCAGTGGAGGTCAGCCAGTCAGTTAAGTTTAGCCAGTGCCTCCACTGGAACAGTTCCAGTAGAGGTCAGCCAGTCAGTTAAGTTTAGCCAGTGCCTCCACTGGAACAGTTCCAGTAGAGGTCAGTCAGTCAGTTAAGTTTAGCCAGTCCCTCCACTGGAACTGTTCCAGTGGAGGTCAGTCAGTCAGTTAGGTTGGTTTAGTTCCTCCACTGGAACAGTTCCAGTAGAGGTCAGTCAGTCAGTTAGGTTGGTTTAGTTCCTCCACTGGAACAGTTCCAGTGGAGGTCAGTCAGTCAGTTAGGTTTAGCCAGTACCTCCACTGGAACAGTTCCAGTGGAGGTCAGTCAGTCAGTCAGGTTGGTTTAGTCCCTCCACTGGAACTGTTCCAGTGGAGGTCAGTCAGTTAGGTTGGTTTAGCCAGTGCCTCCACTGGAACAGTTCCAGTAGAGGTCTATCAGTCAGTTAGGTTGGTTTAGTCCCTCCACTGGAACAGTTCCAGTGGAGGTCAGTCAGTCAGTTAAGTTTAGCCAGTGCCTCCACTGGAACAGTTCCAGTAGAGGTCTGTCAGTCAGTTAGGTTGGTTTAGTCCCTCCACTGGAACAGTTCCAGTGGAGGTCAGCCAGTCAGTTAAGTTTAGCCAGTGCCTCCACTGGAACAGTTCCAGTAGAGGTCAGTCAGTCAGTTAAGTTTAGCCAGTCCCTCCACTGGAACAGTTCCAGTGGAGGTCAGTCAGTCAGTTAGGTTAGTCTAGTTCCTCCACTGGAACAGTTCCAGTAGAGGTCAGTCAGTCAGTTAGGTTAGTTTAGTTCCTCCACTGGAACAGTTCCAGTGGAGGTCAGTCAGTCAGTTAGGTTTAGCCAGTACCTCCACTGGAACAGTTCCAGTGGAGGTCAGTCAGTCAGTCAGGTTGGTTTAGTCCCTCCACTGGAACTGTTCCAGTGGAGGTCAGTCAGTTAGGTTGGTTTAGCCAGTGCCTCCACTGGAACAGTTCCAGTAGAGGTCTGTCAGTCAGTCAGGTTAGTTTAGTTCCTCCACTGGAACAGTTCCAGTGGAGGTCAGTCAGTCAGTCAGGTTGGTTTAGTCCCTCCACTGGAACAGTTCCAGTGGAGGTCAGTTAATTAGTGAAGTTGGGCCAGTGCCTCTACTGGAACAGTTCTAGTGGAGGTCAGTTGGGGTTAGTTATGTTGGTTTAGTCCCTCTACTAGAACCATTTCAGGGTTAGTTAGTTGTGTCAGTACCTTCACTACAACCATTCTAGTGAAGGTCAGTTAGTTAGTTTGGTTCATTACTTCCACTGGAACTGTTCCAGTGGAGGTCAGAGTTAGTAAGGGAGGTTGGATCAGTGCCTCTACTGAAATGGTTAGGATAGAGGTCTGTTAGTGAGGCAGTTGGCTATGGTTAGTTAGTCAGATCATATTTATCCAAGTGCCTCCACTGGAACTGTTCCAATGGAGGGTTAGTTAGTGTGAGTTAGTTAGGTCAGATTATCTATTTGCTTCTACTGGAACTGTTCCAGTGGAGGGTTGGCCAGGGTTAGAGTTAGAGTTAGATCATTTGAAATGTCTCTCAAACCATTCAACCTTTTAAATTATGTTCACTTCTCTCCAACCCAGTAGTTCAAGTTGTAGGGTTTGAAAATAAATATTTACACTATACTACCATACTGCAAAAGGCCACTGAGCCAGCTTCTCACAACTGCTATCCTATTTTTCAGTGACTGATTATCACACAGGTGCCATTTTCTGATTCTGTTACTGCTGACACAAAATTGGTGAAAGAGGCTTGGCATGAGGTGTGCCTTTAGCAGTCAAAATGGTAAGTATTCTGTTCTTAGGGTATTCCTGGTCTTATTTATGTGAAGCTCTTAAAATGCACATAACTAACCCTTCCAAGTACACTCAGCACTTTGACTTGCAATGTTTCCTTACTGTTTTCTTGGAACACTTTTATCTATGTGTCAGATGTCATCCTCATCAGAGCTGTGTGCTATCATCCACTGTTGCAGTGGATTTTTGCCTAGTCCTTTTATTGCTATTGCCTTTTGCTCCTGATTTCTTCCGTTGCTGATCATCATCTGCAGTTTATCATCTTTGAGCTGGCTCATGCTCCTCACAGGGGTTTTACCTTTTTGTTAGGGTTAGTCTTATTTGTTGAAGAGATGGCATATAAGCAGTATCTAAGTGAATGCAGTTGTAAGCCACAGCAGGTATGCAAATAATTTATTGCTAGAGCATTCTCTGATTTCATCTCATTGCAGAAAAGCACTTGTGTCAGTGTTAGGGTCGTGTGCTCAAGGGGGTTGGATCACAAGGGCTTGGCCTCAGCTCGTACGCTGTGCCCCTTTCCCGAGTATGTGCCCTTAATTTCCAGGGGCTAGAACAGTTGTCCAGAGTTTCTGGGATTTGACTAGGGTGGACAATGGATGTCCAGATGTTATTTGGACAAGCAGATAAGACTAATCCAGACGAAGTCCAGACTAGAAACTAACAGAGGATAGACTACCTTGAGGGTTAGAGTTGGAAATGTAGTCTAGGATGCAATCCTAAGACTTGGAATATGACAAGAGACTTATCTCGAGTCCGGAGGACACAGGAATGAGCAGGAACTAAGATGATATTTGAACTGGAGTATTTCCAAGAGTTACAGGAGGTTTATATACTGTAGGTATCATATAGGAATCAGTCAGCAAACATAAAGGCTATGTACAAAGCATATGCAAAGTCTATTAGTAAGTAGGACAGATCATGAATAATGAACACCAGAAATGAAATGTATGTAATGGATCAATAATCAGAAGGGAAACATGGTTAACTGGAGTCCAGAGACAGGGGAAGTCTAAATGGGATTGGGCACTGATATAGGGTTTAGATTCCGGAAGGAAGATAAAGATAGATCAGATCATTTGAGATCTGGATCTTGGATCTGGATATCCGGAGAAGCAGATTTAGAGTTGAGAGTCTGGAATGGCATATGACAGTCAGCCATAATGCTGTGAACATGGCCAACGTAAAAACATCCAGGGGACTTGCTGCAACAGGTGTTGGGACTGTCGATTGCGCAAGGCATGATATGAAGCTTCCTAATGGAGTGGGTGATCTGCAAAAGGGCGAAAAGTGCGTTTTATACTACTCATTGAGCCTCATGTATCTAAACCTGTACTACCAGTTAGGGTTAGACATGGACTATCTAGTTTTTTTGGTAATTCTTAGCTTTTTGGTCTTCATTTTCAACCTGTCATATGATATGGCATGCCAATGGCATAAGAAATTATGGACTTGTATGGACTCATTGTCACCTTGCCTGCACCTTGCCTGCAAAAACAAGATTATCAGATTTTTCATCCCAAAATTCCATCTCAATGCTCATATTCAACCATGTCAAACAATGTTTTCATTTAACTGTAGCAAGAACGTCAGATGCACAGATGGGAAAGCACCCAAGAGAGGATGGGCAAACATTAACTGTGTGGCATCAAGTACCAAAGGGTTAGAGGGACCAGGAGCACATCACGACATCTTGGATGACCATTTTGGAGACTGGAACTGGAAAAAATTACAATGCTTGGTGGGGATCTTGCATTGCTAATATTAGCTTGATCTCACATTTTTCTAGGTGAATGGATGCTCCACAAAATCAAACAAGCTTCCAGCAGATCCAAGCTTCATCGAGAGGAGCTGCATGAACTCGGACATACGATACCAGCACTATCACTGTCTGCATGGAGATCAGAAATAATAGCATGGGAAGAGGACCACACAAAACCCAATCCATTCAGGAGCAGGGTTGTTTGTACATTATTATCTACTTATCTGTTTGAGCAAGACTGATGGGTTTTATCTGAAAGCCATCACACAGGCTGCTATTTGATGTCAGCTAGCCAAGAAGGATGCTGCAGACCTACAATCTGGTGCAGATATCTTGTTGCACACTGAAATATCCCCAAGTATCCTGATTGTGTCAGGGATTGATTTGCAGGATCAACAGTGAGTATCATGACTTGGACATCTACTGAACTATTGCTCACAAGAGAAACACCAGACAATGTTTGGCTGTGGATGCATCAGCACTGGGCCAGCATGCGACTGACACACAAAAATGAAGATATATATCAAAGCAACACTCTTCAATGCCAACTGGATAATTGGGTTCACATCTAGGTCCTTTACATGCTTGCAGTCACCCCCATCTGTTCTGCCAAGGAAGCTCATCAATCTCAACATACCACAACACTGAAGCCAGAGGACTTCAAACTCTGGCCACCATCTGAGCTCAACCTACACATTCCTTGCCACCAAAAGCTTTATGATTGTGAATGGGAACTTTGTTATGCTCAGGCCTGTGATGCATTGAATGATGTTTGACAGAACATCCATTTATTCACTCATCTCAACATATTCAGGGTTAGTGAGTGTACGAGGTCAGGGTGCATCCACTCATGCCTGCACTGCTCTCAATCTTGCGACAGCAAAAATACATGCTGGTAAAGCTAAGTATGATGCTGCCCAGGCTGCACTTGTTGCCCTCACACCACAGCTAGGAAAAACTGGCTGGAGCAATATTTTGCACCCTCTTTTAGTGTTGGATATGAGACCTATGGGCGACTTCATTCAAGGGCAATCTGAAGGTACATCCCTAACTCTACAGAGTAGAGAAAGGGTTCTGTAGCATTCAAATGTCATTTTCTCTACAAACTCTTGTGCCCCGTTTTCCCATGAATGTTGCTTAGGGTTTCACAGAACCTCCCAACATGTTGACAAATTTTCATTTGTTATTCTTGTTCTCGACCTCAGCCATTCTGTGCTCTACTAGGCTGTACACTGGTGTGTGTGATATTTGACATTTTGCTGCTCTTGGACCCTGTGATGTGAGTTCAGTGTAATTCTCATTCTTCTTGCATTCTGAGCCTTTTTCAGGACCTTTATAGTCAAGGCTCCATGTCACATTGCTCAAGTTCTCGACGAGCGGGACTGCCCACCACTTTTGATCATGCGTAACATTACTGAATACCCTGTATACTATGATGCACTTTATTATTTGCAATATCACACCTATAACTTTGATACCCCTGATAAATTTTGTGCATGGCTGTTGAATTCACTCATATCTCATCATCATTCCTGTTGCACTTGTTCCTTTGAATTTTGTGGTTGTGTTGCATTCAATGGTTTCTCCGTTATCGTTACTGATGGCCACAGATCTCTGTCCCTCTGTCCAAGTGAGTTCAAGTCTTCAGGTTATTGCCACTGTGTACTTCTGCGCAGGTTCAGCATGTGTGGTTGTGACAGAGTGGCTTTCTCGCTTGCAAGGAAGATTGATTGTCTTCCTGCTTGAATTGATCACGACAAGCAGACCATCGTCACTCACCTTTTGGACCTTCTTGTGTCGGTGCTTTCGAAAACTACCCAGGCCCTTCCAGGCACTAAACTTAAGCCATGTACCAAGGGGGAACATGTGAATCTTATTGTGTGACACTATCTTCGAGCCTGTTCAGTGTTGCTGATTTGCCCCAAATGGGTATTGACAAGATTCTTTCAGCTGTAGTCCTACCTTCTGGATGTGCACACCACTTGTTACCTCTCTGTCTGCTCACATCTTCAGCATGTATGGTGATGAGGTTGCTCAGTCCCTTTGTTGACCGCCTCCCAGCTGTTATGCATCCTACTCTCTTGACTGTTTGTGTGTCCCTTGGTTGGCTCTACCGATTGAAGTGCTTGTACGTTGTCTTTGCACTTTATTGCTTGATGTGCTATCACAATGCATATGCAGTCTACCACTGGATGGGCGTCCTGTGTTGAATACTTGGTCTCATACCAAGACTAGCAATAGTCTGGCTTGTCACACCCATGAATGTGCAATGTATTTACAGGCTGTGGATGCGGATTCCTTGAATGTGGTGTGGTTTGCACATTTTCCTTTTGCCTCTCCTTCTGATTTGCTGGACACTCATTACCTCTCAGCCGTTCTTGAATTTGAGTATGGTCTGGATGTCCTTCGTTGTGTGGCCACAGAACCCTTGTCCCTGGTTGAACGATGGAAGTTACAGCGACACAAGGACAAAAAATTAAGATTCAAGAGGATGAACATCTGCTGGAAGAGTATTGCCATGCATGGCCAGTTCCCATCCCTCAGACAACTGTGAACTCATGTCTTAATAACTATTATCAGGCTTCTAAGTGGAGCATTTCTCCCATCTGCGCTGTGTGTGCTCGCCATCACAAGATTCCAAGGTTGGGGTCATTTCTGCCACTGGCAAGCCAGTCTTCCATCTTGAAGCCCTCCATCTCACTGACCAATTCATTATTCAGAAGTGTGTTCTTCAAGGGTTGTCCAATGCATTCTATTTCAATTGTCCAATCATCAATGGTTTGATGCTTGATCACACAGGTATTGTGGATTGCACCAGTGACCAGGTGCATCTGTTTCTGTGTGCTTCATGTCGTGCCTCCTTATCCAAGCCTAACAGTGTACCTCACTTGGCATTAGCTAACAACCTGTATTGAGGACAACTGCCAGTTCATTTGCAAGATATATCATGGGTTGAGGAGAAGATCTGTGCTATCTATTGTGTTACGGCTCATGTGACATGATTGTTTCAGTCATCTGATCCCACCCAGCCAAAGGTTTTTCATGGTAATACTTGTGTGCACGACATGAACATTGTTTCTACAGCTTCTGTTCTGCCCTGCATGCCATCTGATGTCAATGGTCTCCTCAGCATCATCTTCATCAGACCCAGCAAATTCAATCTTAATCAGCTGGGCATGGTCTTCCGTGTGCGTAAATGAAAGATGTGGACTTGCCTTTTGTGTCTTGAGCATCACAACCATCTGTACTCAACAATCCCTCTGGACTCTGAAGTGATGTCCATGTACCCTAAAGACGACATTCTGCTGAGACTGTCAGATCATGTGATTGAAGACCACAAACGCGATGCATGTACAGTTTTTGAGGAAAAAACTGCCAGGTTTTCCACTCATCCTGCTGAGTTGATGTGTGATGATCCTGATCATGGCAAATCCTCTGGTGAGCAAACTGAACAAGTTGTTATGTTGGAGAAAATGGGAGTTTCTGATCCCAAGAGTGACAAGATCAATGGGCAGATGTTCACTGCTGCTGTGCTCCATAATTTATACTCACATTCAGGTTCTCATCCAGATCTTGTCATTCTCCAAGGCTCACAAGCAATAACAGAGTATCACAATCCGGATCTGCTTGTCAGTATGTATCCCATGTTGTTTCCCTGTGGAATAGGTTGGTTTGAAGATCCACAGAGACCAACCACTCTATCATTTGAGGCTCAAGCCCATTACTACTTGGAGCTGGCCGACTGGTCGTTTCGTTACCATCATTCTTACCTGTTTGTGGCATTGAACATGACTCAATGCTGGGCTGCACATTTACAGACATTCTTCACAGTTTGCAAATCAAACTTTGATGATGTTGCCCGCAAACTCACTCAGGTCTCTCTAGCAGTTTTGGACAATCTCGCATATTGATTAGAGCGAGAACACAACTATTTGCAATTAAGCAGTGGGGAGCAATCAGCCTTGAAGTTGCTGAGGCAGGTTAACACCATGTCTGCTCGAATACCTGGCTCACAAGCTTCCAAAATTTATGTGCATAATGAAATTCGTAGTTACTTCAGTTATTTTGGTCTGCTCACTTGTTTTTCACTTTCAACCCAAGCACTGTTCACAGTCCCATCTTTCAGGTGATGTTTGGTGACCATACTGTAGATTTGTCTGCACGTTTTCCCTCGCTTCATCTTGGCCCATGACTGTGCACTCTGGCTGGCCCAGGATCCTGTTGCAGCAGCAGATTTTTTTCGAGTTTTCATGGAGGTGTTGCTTTGAGCATCTTCTGGGATGGGACTTTAAAAGCAATTGCTCAAGCCCCATGGGCAGAATTTTCGGATGATTGCAAGCTTTTTATGGTTCATCTGAATACACAGAATGAGGCTCTCTCTATGGTCACTACTTGCTTTAGGGTGGTTGGTGGGTCCAATCTATCTGAAATTCATCTGATGTTGTGTGATGAAGCTTACCAGAAGTGGTTCTTTGCACTCTTCGACAACATTATACACCATCATCTGCCTGATGTAGAAGTCAAAATTGATCACAAGTATGACTCTCATGTCAAGCGACCTCCTCTGCCACCATTGATGAAAGACATCAACTGTGGCAAACCTTCCCTCACTACTAATGAGGAGTGGTCCTCCATGTTGCTACACAGGTTAAGCAGTGTGGTGAGTCTTTACAATGACACAGCTGTCAGCCAGTTTGTCACAAGTACAGTAATGATGACAAGTGTTGATTCCTCTTTCCTCATGAGGTCATTGAGTTGTCCCACTTTGAGCCGGAGACAAATTCAGTCATTTTCATGTGCAAAGATCTGTATGTAAACTATTTCAATCCTTACATCCTCATGTTCTGTCGGCACAATCATGATATTAAGTGTATTTTATCAGGTAAAGGCGCAAAGGTGGCAATGTTCTATATCTCCGATTACATTACAAAGATGGATTCAAAAACCTATGAGATGTTGTCCCTGTTGTCCCATGCAGTTGCCTGTGTTCCTATGCATGAATTTCAGACAAGCCTTGCTGATGGTGCTAAGCACATGTTACACAAGTGCCTTTCTCAATTCAATGGTCAGCAGCAGATACATGCCCAGCAGGCAGCACATTACCTCCAAGGACTTGGTGATGGCATCCCATCCCATGACACCGTACCCATGATGTCATCTCTGTAGCTCTCTTATGTCAAGGGTACTGTTGCAGGTGAAACACATGTGGATGATCCTGATGACCAAGACTTGGATTCCGAAGATTGTAAATTTGAGATGACACACAAGCAGACGCGTATTTGCATTGTGATGGACAAGGAAGGTAGAATTTTTGAAATGAACCAGATACATCATTATATATATCGTGCAGATTCCTTGGCAAATATGTGTTTCTATGAATTCTGTTGGTGTGTTCAGATCCAGTCAAAAGCTAAAAGCAATGCTTGAAGAACACTCATGAGTCACAACTTGGTGTATTCCAGAGACACTCACTGAAGGGCAACCACCCGCTCTGTACCTCCCATGAATTGTTAGAGCATATAAATGAGGAATGGAGTGAGGGCAGTCATAAGTTGGTTCCAAGAGTGGTTGGCATGTCAATACCTCATTCAAACAAAAACAAGTTGTGGGCTCTCTTCATGCTAGCTCACTTCAAGCCATTCAGCAATACTACACCCCTCATCCCGGATAGCATTACAGCCGAATGTCTATATGAGATGTTTCCATTCTCACAATGTAGTAAGGCAATCATGCACCACTGGGAAGCTGTGCATGAGTGTGAGGATGAATGCAATGCAGACAGACTATGAAAACAAGCTCGACTCACCAGGCCAAGCATGAAGTCAGCTACATGGCCTCCGAGAGATGATGTGGATGAGATCAATTTTGCACTGCCAGATTGCTGGCAAGGGGCAGTCATGAGTATTTCCACATCAACCAATTTATTCTGCTTCTCACACAGGCATGGTGGCTGGACAGCACCAGTACTGCATCCTGCCAGGTATCCCCTCCTATGGACTCTTCAGTGGGTGGTCGTCGAGACAAACCTGACAGTGGATTGCAGCCCTAAACAACTAAAGCAATGGACAGATGAGGTAAAAAACAGGAACTGTGGTTGCAACTACATGTCACAATGCTTTGAACCCAAATGAGCAAGTTGACTGCTCTCATGCCCTGGTGACAAATAATTGTGATAGTGCGATGCTGGTTGATATGCACCTGTTTTTGGCCCAAAAAGAGTCTGAGTGTGTTGTGACATTGACTGATGTTTTGGATCCTGCTGCAGTGATAATGAAGATAGGGAGTGAGCATCAACTTAATGAGAAGCAGTGGGTGGCATACCATATAATTGCAGAGCACTTTGTGCACAGAATCATTGAAAAACGAGATGATCCTGCACTGGCTTGACTATGTTGATGACAGGACCTGGAGGAACTGGCAAAACCCATGTTGTCAAAGCTGTACAAGCCGTCATGGAGTACTATGGCTATGGCCACATCATTTGTTTCTTGGCACTGATGGGCTTGGCAACAGCACTTATTGATGGCATGACAGTGCACAAGGGACTTGGCATCAAGATTAAGTCTAACTCAAAAGGCAAAGGTAACTGCAAACCTGGTGTAAGTAGCCAAGACTATTCTGTTGTCATCAGTGTTCAAAACAAGACACAGCTATGAGACGAATGGCGCCACATGCAGTATTTGCTGATTGATGAAACTTCCTTGCTTAGCCTCCAACTCTTCACTGAAATTGATCATGCATTATGGTATGCAAAGGAGAGGCCAGATCTGTGGTTTGGTGGTGTTGTTGTTATTTTCTCTGGAGATTGTTATCAATATCCACCTGTAGGGGGGAGCACACTGCATACATCTATCTCCCATTATGCTGGTCAGACTGATGATGAAATACAAAAACACTTGGGTTGCCTGGCATGGAAAACAGTAAATATGGTGGTTAGCCTCAATATGCAACAGTGTATGAAGTCCAATACTGAGTATGGCAAGGCTGTCCATAGACTGAGAGTACAGCAGTGCACCTTTGAAGATGTCGATCTGTTTAATTCTCAACTGATAAAATCAGCCAACAACCCTGATGGTGTTGACTTGGGTGATGCAACTAACCATTCAGCTTCTGCCATTGTAGCCATGAATGCGCTTTGGGAGGTTTTGAATACAAAAAAGGCTGAGGCATCCTGTGCCCCTGACTATTTGGTTCGAGCAAATGCTTTGGACAGATGTTCACATGAGACTCTTGATTTAGAGGAATGCCAACAACTACTTTGAATCGATTTCAGCCCTATCAAGGTGTTGGGGCGGTAGCTCCAACCTTAGTGAATGTGCGAGGCACTTGAATGGGATTGAGTCTGTGTCTACTGCCACGCCCTGAATGGCACACCTGGGCTGACTAAGCTACTCAAACCTCTGAAAAACTCCTGCCTCTGCAACCCTTGACTAGGGGGTGCCCCACTCCAAGTGCCCCCCTTGAAAAAAACCTGGTGGTGTCCTCATCGCTCCCACACTGCTCTCTTCTGCTCTTGCCATCTCACCCTTGGCCTTCTTCATCTTCATCATTGTTTTCACTCTCCTGCTCTCTTGCTTCTTCTCCACTCCTCATTTCCTGGTTGTCATTGTCCTCTGCTTCTTCATCGTTCTCATCCATTTCTGCATTCTCTTCCTCATATGTTTCTGTCTGTTTCTCCTTCACCTTGGTTCTCTTTCTCTTGCATTGACAGTTCTTCTTCAAACTTCTGTTGTTCTTCGGCTTCTGTTGTTCTTTGGCTAGTCTTGTTCCTTCTCATGGTACAAATGCATGGAGGTGGCATGTGTGCATTTCTCCTGCCATTGCTTCTCATTCAATGTCTCTCCAGCTTGTACAAGTTTCTGAGTCTTGTGGTAATGTGATGGGGTGGTG